GTAGTTAGTACATTTAGGAACCCAAAATGTATTTGTAGATGGTTCCTTTAAATTTTGCAGACCATAGCATAACTTCCTGAAATGTCCTCGTCTAGTACAGTACGAGCATATGCATACAACTAGATATTTTCTAAACTTATCATCAGAAACTTGTTTTGGATGATTTTTAGCAAAACTTTTCTTTTGAGCGTGTTTGTTATGAAGACATCCATTTGACTGGTTAGAAACATTTTCTATCCTCAATTGTTTATCATGAAGTACACGTTTTAACTGTTGATTTTCATCAGTCAGATCAAATATTTATTTGTGAAGTTTATCCTGACATTTATTTTGAGTAGCAACAATCCTTTTTAATTCATTTATTTCTTTTAGCATAGCATGATTGTCTGACATAAGGAGGCAATATTTACTCTTGAGTCTATTGCATTCTTCCTGAAGATTTTTAAAACATGTAGAAATAAGGTTTCATATTCAGACTCTGAAACTAATGATGGTTATGAAGACATAAGGAGTTTTCAAAACCATCATTAGTTTCAGAGTCTGAATCTGAAATTACCTGGTAGCTTGATGGAAGGGTTTGTTCATTTCCATCCAGAGATAAGGTTTCAATTTCTCTTGATGCAAACGCCATGTTTACCAGATTCTTGATTTTCGGATCATTCTCTGAGCTGTAGTCACTCCAGGATGCAGCGAGAGCTTTTTCTTGAGCCTTAAGAGTTAGGGGACATCTGAATCTCATGTGCCCTGCTTTTCCACACTTATAACAAATTGTCAAATCCTTTTAAGAGGAAGACCTCTAGCCTTCCTTAAGCTCATGTTTAAACCTTTCTCGACCTTCATATGATTTGTCAAATATGTTATAATGACCTTTTTCAGAATTGAATCTGTTTGAAGTACTTTTGTCAAGTTGTCGAGTAGGAAATCTTTAAATTTCTTCTCGATTTCTACGGCTATTGAAATGTTTTGCATCATTGAAATTTCTTCTATCTTGAATGTCTCTTTTCATTTTTAACATCTTGTGAAATCTTCTAACAAGGGCAAATTCCCGTTCAAACCCTTCACCCATGTCATAATCAGACTCACTATCATATTCTTTAGCTTTGAAAGCAATACCTTTTTCCTTCTATTATCTTCTTTGTTCATTTGGACAATTACTTCCTCATGACTCAACAATGATCCAACCAACCTTTCAATAGATATAACATTTAAATCATTAGCTTCTTCTATAGCTGTTCTTTTAGGCAAACTTCGTAGTATTTTTCTAACAAGATCCTTAGTAGCAAATGTTTTGCCTAAACCTTTTAGCCTATTGGTTAAATCATTGAACCTCTTGTACATACTAGAGATTGACTCTCCTGAGTCCATTTCAAACGATTCATATTCATTTAAAAGTACATCTATTCTGCTTTCTTTTACCTCTGACGTACCTTCATGGGTAGTCTGAAGAGACTCCCAGATTTCTTTAGCGGTCTCACATTGAGCAACTTGACTCCTCTCTTTGGGCAGAGAGCGGAGAAGAGGATGTGCATCTCCCTTGAATCCAGTTGAGAAGACGGTTTTTTATCATCTCCCCACTTTTCTTCTTCCTCGGCATTCATGGGAATGGGTCATTTGCACACTACAGCCCACAAATCGCCGTCAATGCCTCGAAAGGTAGATTCTCATCCTTTTCTTCCAGACAGTGTAGTCTGTTCCATCGAACCACGGAGGATTTGTGCTTGCAGAATATGATGTTGATGAAGATCCTGCCATTTCTGGAGCTTCTCATGTGAATTAGAAAGGGAAGATTGATTAAAACATAAGATTTCTAAGACTTATTTCGAAGACTTGATTTAATCAATCTTCACGCTTTCTAATTAGCATCTTCTGTAAGAAAATGTAATTGTATTAATAGATAGAATATTGCAAACTACAAACAGAGAATCCTAGCCAAGCCAATCGAATTGGCTCTTTGAACTAATCTAAAACACTCAACAAGCTTCCCAATCCCTAATTCACCCAGCTCACACACACTGTGAATTAAGGAATTGAAGTAGAAACCCAAACACGGACCCACGATAGAAAGATATTTCACACAACACTCTTTCTGTCGACTGCCAAGTTCTAAAGCTAGGTCAGATTACATAATTTATAGAAGGCAGAAGAAGATGACTGTTTGCTAAGTATGGTAGTAATCATCATTAGCTTTTTTATAGATGCAGTGACCATCTTGAGGCAGATCGAGAGGAGCAGGCTTTGAGGGAGTTGTCTCCACGATTTGAGAGTGAATCGAAGACGGAGATTTGGAGAACTCTGCACGAGAAGGCTGCATCTAGACTTTGAATGACGATTTCTTGCAACGTCGTCGTCAGGATATGATTCTTGAACGGCGTCGTTGGGCTTGTGATGTGGGCAGAGTTGAAACGACACCGTTGCGAATTTGGCAGTTTAAATAGCAACATCCACACGGGAACGGGTCAGGTCAGTAACCTTATGGTGAGTAACCATGAGTAAACCGTCCACATCAGCATGACATCAGCATCCCTCTCTCTCCTGGAAAGCCTTCATTTTCCCCTCCTTAATCTTTGACGAACGAGTTCTCACTCGTTTAAGTCGAAATTTAATTTTTTTGCACAGTTAGATCAGATTAATTGTGCTCTTCAAAATGATATCCATTTTGATATATTTTTCGAACAAAAAAAATTGAGCCATTTTTTACCAGTCTATACCATATAGTATTGACTTGTATTGAAATAAGAGCATACCTATGGTTTGAAAAGCGTACCATGGTGGTATGAACAAACCAAGACTGTAGGATGATTGAATACATGATAGTAGAAGCATATTAACTATTATTTACGACTTTTAACATTGTGTACTACAAGATTCCACCCCGTACCAGGGTGGTATTGTATGGTATTGTGTGGTATTTTTTGGTCCTGTAATTTGTTCACCTAGAAATTTGTAGATCCAATAGATCATGATGAACTCGTTCCTTCAGTGCAAACGTTTTCAAAAACGGATTAAAAACGAAGAAGATACTATATGGTATGCGGTTGGTATCGAGAGGCAAGAAATTTTTGTTTTCTAAAAAAATATTGAAAATGTATCTCATTTTGTAGAGCACAACAAACACATTCCATCTGTGCCAAAAAAAATTAAAATCCGAGTTAAAACGAAGAAGATATGAACCAATTAAGAAAGCTAGGGAAAATAAAAATGACTTTTAATTCTCCATCCTTAGATCTAGATTTTTTAAATGAATGGTCCAGATTTAGTTATGTGATGGCTCCAGCAGGCTTCTCTGTATCATTCTGTTGATTCCGGATAAGGTTGTGACATCCTTGAATCCAATTGCTTTACAAGTGGGACAAGGATACAAGTTGCACTCGTCTTATAAAGAGGTTTTGATAGAAGAAACACAGCGAAGGCAATGCAATTTAGATCCAACACTTGATTCAGTATGGCAGACACATAAGAGCAATATCAGTCCACAGAAGAGTTAAACCGTGTTGAGGGTGAGCTGGAAACACAACTTGATATTATTTGCCTTCTTGATGAGGAAGAAGAGAAACCCATTACAACATCCCGCTCTATTATTAATATGAATTAGAATGAGTTCGTCCGACTTTCCCAAAAAAGAAAAAAGGTCTTAGTGTTCTCAATCACCATATGGACTAGATAGTATGACAACACTCCTTGTGTTGTTATTGTAACAACACTAGTCTCCAACCAATAGGAAGTTAGGGTTGTGATGACTTTTTATTAGATGAGTTGACCTAGTGTAAAATCAAAGTAGGGGTATAATTGTCATTATGAAAAATCTGTTTAAATAATAATAAAAAAAAATAAAAAATAAAAAAAAAATTTTATTTTTCGGCCCAAAATTTTGGTCGCCGGAATTCAGTCACCGGTCGCCGGAATCTGGTCGCCGGTCACCGGAATATGCTTTTTTTGTCGCCGGAATATGCTATTTTGTCATCGGAATATGCCACCGTCGCCGGAATATGCTCACCGTGGTCGGAATATGCTTACCGACGTCGGAATCTAGTCATCGGGGCCGGAATATGCCTATCGGAGCCGGAATCTACTCACTGACGGTCATCGGCGTTTGGTCAACGATTTTCGTTGACCGGTCAACGGTCTTCGGTGACCGTCAACGGCCAACGATCACCGGATGTTATGGTCTGCATTGTGAGATTTATGGTTTGGTTTCTCATATTTTTGTATGCCTTTTGTGGTTTGCTTTATCGTGTTTGTGGTTTGCATTAAGAAGTTTCTAGTTTGCTTTATCGTGTTTGTGGTTTGCATGGAGAAGTTTCTGGTTTGCTTTCAAAAATATTGTGGTTTGCATTGAGGGGTTTCTGGTTTGTTTTAATATATTTGTGGTCTGCATTGGGACGTTTCTGGTTTGGTTTTTTGTGGTTTGATTTATTGTGTTTGTGGTTTGCATTAGGAGGTTTCTGGTGTGCTTTCGCAAATGTTGTGGTTTGCTTTGTGAGGTTTCTGGATTGTTTTAGGAGATTTGTGGTATGCATTCGGAGGTTTCTGGTTTGCATTAAGAAGTTTATGGTGTGCTTTCAAAACTTTTGTGGTTTGGTTTGCGAGGTTTCTGGTTTGTTTTAATAGATTTTTGGACTGCATTATGACATTTTTGGTTTGCTTTACCGTGTTTGTGGTTTGCATTAGGGGGTTTCTGGTGTGCTTTTCAAAATATTTCTGGTTTGTTTTACCATGTTTCTGGTATTGCAGAGGCAACAAAAATCGACTTCGTAATATCAACCGGGGATAACTTCTACGACGACGGATTAACAGGAATCGACGACTCCAATTTCTACCATTCATTTGCAGACATCTACACAACACCCAGCTTGCAGAAGCAGTGGTACAACGATAATTTATGGTCCAAATCTGTAATTGAATGATTCTTCCTCCTTCCTCTGCAACCCTTTGCGGGGGAAAAAGTATTCTTCCTTCTTCTGCAGTACCATTCACTAAGAAGATTTCGAACCAAAATCAGAATGGAAAGAAGAAGAGCTGCAACCACAGCAGAAGGCTCAGCTTTTGCTTCTCCATCTCCCTGGTAATTAATCTATTCTCTTTCTTTGATATATATTAATTGTCAGCTTTATTACAGCTCTATTACGTAATTCCTCATTCTGGTGCGCAGAATTACAGAAGGAGCAGCTGAATCGTCCAATCCACCAGAACCTTACGGGTCAGCGGCGAGCGGCCGCTGACCGACTCCGACACCAGGAGGAGGAGTCGTTTCAACGTCACGTTCCCCGTCCCTCAGAACTGCGACGCCTTCAGGATACAGGGCAAGTTCCAGGATGGAGTCCTCATCGTCACCATTCCCCGACTCCCAGAAACCCCCGCCACCACCGTCGCCGCCGCCTCTCCTCCGTCGCTGTCGCCGCCTCTCCCAGGAATATGCACTGTAACATTGTTTCTTCCTTTTGTATCACTTGCTCGGAGACGCCGCCGATCCATCGCTCCATCTCCTTCTCCGGTAAACCACCGATCGATCGCCCTAACCTAATAATTTCTCCCCTGCCTCCCTCCAAATTTAGAGTTCACTGAAATTGGGAATTTTTTCTTCTTCTTCCAATCACCAACAGAGCTATTGACCACATTGAGAGAGTTTTGCGGTGGTGCAATGGTGAACTTGCGCTGTCAATTACCACCGGAATCAAGAGGAGGCACAGCGAGAAGAGATCGAGAGACGGAGAGGGGAAGGCTGGGAATTGAAAATTTATTTTTTTAATTTTAATTTGTTATTTTATGGTACTTTACCCTTTTACCCTTAATGAATCCTCCCATTCTTCTTATATATAATTAGTGAGTACGCTTTTTGCCCAAAATTTTTGCTACTGTTTCAATTTTTAACGTTTAGTGAGCTGAGCCTCAAACTCTGGAGAGCTCCTTGGAAACCTGCTTTCGTGATTGTCCTGCACCACTAGAAGTTCTCGGCTGCTGCACTGTCCTCAACCATGCCTTTTCCATTCTTGCTCTGTCAACTTTACTGTCCTTCTTCCAATCACATCCTCTCTGCATATGGTCTTGCACGCATCACCCATGCCACTTTTGCAGAGCTCTTTGGACACGCCTCCTTCCCAACCCGTCAGTTCGTCACTCCGCTTTGCTTTCCCGTACAGCAAATCCATGTCTTCCTTCTGCTTCTACGGTGTTGGGAGACAAATGGTTCCCTCCTTTCCCCCACCGTAATCCCTCAACGAAACCCTAGAAGTTTCCTCGCTGCTGGTCGACACGGAACCAGAACCTGAAAGCGGAGGATGAAGAAATCGATTTGGAACAGGAGGACCGACGACGGTGGACAGAATCGCCTATGATGGTGTCATGGTGAGGTCTTATTTATCTGTCTGCTTTGTGGACAATTTTAAATTTCACCTACTCGGTTTTGGACTCTTGCTGCAGAGCAAAGCTGTAGCAATGAAGATTCTGATGACATGGTGTCGTCAAGTTCGTACTCTAGCCCTATCCATGGGGAGGAACAACGGAAACTGACGGTGATGATGATGATGGACCAGCAGGAGGATGGGGTAAGAGTTGGTGGGACCGCCGAATTTCAGGATGGAAGACGAGAGAAGCTCAACGGCTGCCGGGGAGGAGCGAAAGAATAAGGAGATGAGAAGGAAGGAAAAGTATCACCACCCTCGACGAGAATGTAAGCAGAAGGAAACTCTTCTCTATCCAATTTTTTATTTTGTATAGAAAAGAAAACGGATTTGAATCTGCAGATTGATTGTCCTCTGTGCTATGCTGCTGGGCCTGCTTGAAGCATCTTACCATCTCCAACAGTTCAGGTACAAAGTCTTCATTTTATGATGCGATGGTCTAACCCTTAACTGCTGTTGTTTTCCATTTTAACTTGATGTGTTCACATACGAAGCATTGCTCAAGAGATGCTGGAAGGAGGCAAAGTGCTTTAGCTATCACTAAAGAAACGAGTGCCCGAAACATTCCCAGAAACGATTTCATCTATAACATATTAATTGACGGGCGAGATTCTCAGCAGATTGGTTCGTTTGGATTTTGCTTCTCTTCTGTCTAATTAATGGACGAGGATTATTTTCAGATGGGCTTGGGGAGCTTATGTGTTTTGTGTTTTCGTACTTGGTTCTTTTTATGGTTCTCGATTCTCTTGCCTCTCATCTCCAACTACTGCTTTGTACCTTGACAATGTTCCTGCTTTGGTGTTCCTTTAGTCCATGAATTGTAGTGGGATGGCTTTGAGGCTTTCGTTTATGGTAATTATGAAGTGGGTTGGCTGATTGATTTGTTATATTTTAGGGAAGACAGAATTCCTAGGGAAGAGACCCATGTCATGTTCAGGATTGGAGATCATGAGTTAGAAAGCAATAATTATGGTGGGGATCAGCTGGATGAGCTGTCAGACGATGGGTCACAGCCTCACAGGCAGTGGAGAAGAAGAGGAGGCTGAACATGGAACAAGTGAAGACATTGAAGAAGAACTTTGAGTTGGGGAAAATGCAGTTAGCTAGAGCTCTTGAGCTGCAGCCTAGGCATATTGGTATTTGGTTCCAGAACAGGAGAGTCAGGTGGAAGACCAAGTCGCTTAGAAAGATTATGTTATCCTTAAGAGACAGTTTCAGGTTGTCAAAGCTGATAATGATGCCCTTCAAGCCCACAAATAGAAGCTTCATGATGAGGTAATTGTTGGTTTCAGTTTTTTAGAATTCTGGGTTTGATATTTTCTTTTGTTTTTTTTTTTTTTTGTGTGAAAGAAGCCACAGGTATGACAGATGGGTCTGGAAACAAAACTTACCATAAATCATACACATATCATGGTCACGTTCTTTTTGAAGTCCACCCCCCCCCCTCTCTCTGCCATGGTTTTGGTTCAGAACTTTTATCCAATATTGTTAATCACTTACCTTGAAACCTGCAACTGATGACTTAATATAATGCTTTCTTTTATATGCCTATCATCAAAACTTTTCTTTTACAATAAAAGTTAACTTTTGGGAGCTGGTCAAAAGAAGAGAAAAAGCTACTGGGTACTGACTCTGAAGCCGTGTTTCAAGCTTCTCTCTTTTTTTTGCCATGTTTCATGTATGCTTCATCTCTGACTTGATTGGTCAAAGCATGGTTTTTGGTGGGGGAGGCCAGATATTGGCACTGAAAAGCAGAGGACCAAACCATAAGCAATAAACCTGAACAAAGAGATACATTTTGTAAGGTTCATCTATCCATCCACTATACCAACTAAATAATCTCGGTCTCAATCTTTTATGAAAAAACCCTGCAGTTCAACTTGGGCTGACGTGAATTTCTTCTTTGCAGAGACAACATCCGGGCTTACAGGCGTTCAGCTCATCATATGATGCCTTCACATCTGACATCAAATGGTAGAAGGAGCTGCAACGGCAGTAAGGGGTGCAGATGCCTTCATATCAGACGTTGATGAGATTATGCTAGCCAATGAAGTTAGTTATCGGTAGGAAGGTCAATATTGCAGATGGAAGGACAAACAAAAAAAAGTACAAGTGAAAAGTTCAATGTTGAACTTGAGATTTAAAACTGAGTTTATGTTGCTGTAAATTTGGGGACAAAAACGAGGACGTGGAAATAAGAGATGCACGTGCATAACTGAACATAGGTTTGTAAGATTTCAGTAAGAAACTCTTATACGTAGGTCGCAGCCTTCAGTAGGAAACTATATGTAGCTTTCAGTTTGTATCTCCAGTCTCCTGATTAGAACTATGTCAATAAGATTCGAAAATAAACTTTTAGAGTATGATTATTATTAGTCTATTAATCCAAGATTGTTATTTAATGTTGTCTATATATTTTATGCACTTAATCATGAACCCATTAGAATATGATGGTACACAACACTTTAATTGACCACCATATGATTATTCGACTACAACTTTAATTCCTGCGGCGTTGCAACTTTAGTACAACTTACCGTCATCTTAATTTACCGTCACCTTAATGACTACCATATAATCATTCGGCTGCAACTTAGTTCCTGCGGCGTTGCGTAGCCGCCGCAGGTATTGATTCTAGTCACCATAGCAAGCCCCGTCTTAGAATCAAGACAAAGGTCGACTCTCCTTAGCTAGTGCCAATGCCTTGAGCATGATGAGTCGGGATAGATAATGCAGCTGAATCAGCTGTAAAAATTGCCTCTGTTTTAAATTTGTATTCTTAGTTCTTACGCAACAACTAAAATCTCATGCACAAGTGAAGATTGCCGTGGATAATTTCTAGACCATATAAAGAAAAACAAGAAAAAGGTCCCCTTGCTCCCATAACAAGATTGGTGCACTGGAGACGCCAAACTTTTGACTAGGACCATTGGGCAATAATCAGCTTTCTACGGAACCTCCATAGTTCTATATATACAATGAGAAAATTGGAGGCTGGACTCATCATACATACCTAATACAACAGATACTGGACTCGAGTTTTAAGTGAAAGTCTACTCTGGTGCAAGGAAGCATTGAGGCCGCTGCTACAAAGATTCCGACTTGTCAACTGAGACTCTTGACATTTTAACTTCAGCGGCAGTGACTTGTGACTGATACGTGTCCCCTCGCTCCACATCGCTGAATTGGTTCGCTTAATTCTCTGTTTTTAGCTTCCCAGCACGATCACGCCAAGAACCTTGTTGTTTTGCAAGCACCTAAATTTTTACGAAAACATATTAGAATCAAACAAAATTGCTCTAGTTAGTTCATGCTGAAAATCACTGTCCGCTTAAGATACCTTCTCGCTCAAGAGACTAGTGGAAAGTTCAGGTTTATTCATCTCCTTTTTCTTCTCCTCCAACAGAGGGTCACTGTCTGAATCAAAGGAAACTGGAAGAGGAGCTCCAAACATGGCTTCATCATGAGCAGTTTTAATCCGCTCCTCCCTTTTTGCCTCCACGGCAGAGAATCGAAAGCTCTGACCAATGTGCTTGACTAATGCTGTATCATCCTCCGCAGCTGTGAGAGAGCACAGGGTAAGCCAAGGACAAGCGAAGTTACAAGAGAAACAGAGATACAAGTTATATGTCGTTAAGAAAACTACAAAGATGGAATAGAAACAGAAGCGGGAGGGGAATTATTAGTACGAATCTGTGATCAACTGGCACCACAGTGCAAGAAAGAAGAACGAAATCTGACTGACCTTCAACTTCTTCATCATCAAGGGGAGCATCTTGGTCAAACTCAAACCTCTCCCAACCTGAGCTGCCTTTTTTTGTATCCTTTTCAGCTGCATGTGAAATTATGTAACACATGAATGACAATATCTGGGGAGTTTACGGTCTAAAATTCTGACAGCCACCTGGCCAAATGTATTTTGTTCACACATTACCGCATGACCCACAGACTATACCAGGACTAACGAGCTAAGAGTATATTCACATGGTAGCAAATTTACTGACAAGTAACATCATTGTCAAGCCAAATCTTAGTGATGACAGTATGTTCATCATCCTTCTGCATCCAAAAGTAACAATCAAACTGAATGGTGCAGCACCCTAAAGCATCCAAATGGGCAGATAAGATCACAGATCTACTCATGTAGCAAATAATAAGTCAGAGAGTCTAGGAAACGAAATGGTGACAAGGATGCAACCATCGTTACAGAGTTTTTACTACAAATTTCAGGTTATCTCACAAAATACCGAGAAAAGATCACTTCCAAACCAGAAAGCCACAATGGTAAGTTTCCTCTACCAATTCGTACACAGTAATACAGTATCAATGTAGAAAAAGCAGTAACCTTCGCAAATGCTGCTGAACCCGAGGTAATGACATCAGATTGGAAAAGGGATTCATGTTCCTTACCAGTGTCACTAAGCTGGAACTTCATTCGTGCTTTCACTCTTTCAGCCTGTGTCTGATAGTAAAGAAGCTTCGGATTTAAATTATTGCTAGAATAAGAGCAAATAAGATAGCAGACTGAAAGTTTCATTATATAATCAGTTGCCAGATTACTTCTAGAGGAACTGACAGGAGAAAAAATTTACCAGACTTCAACAGCATATCGCGTTCCAGTACAAACCCCAGTGTCTCCGTATATCCTAATCAGTCAGCACATAGAACTAGGAGTGCCAGCCAAGCATGTATTTCCTAAGGTTCTTACCTAGCATAACTTCTACAGACATAATGACGATATGCCGATCACTTGCCAAACCACACCATTTTCCTTTACACATACATCCATAGTTCTTATTATTTTTCCAACCACAAAAGGAAGCATGTAACAACATATAGTCAAGCCACCCTAGCCTGAAGCACTGCCAAATGTGATAATTTCATGGTAACAGTGAGACTGTGAGAGGTTTAGACTTTAGAGCCAATGTACTTATAGGGTAGCCCATTCCCTTGACGCCTGAATGAACTTGAACAATATCTCATTCCACGGAGCTAAGAGATGGAAAGCACAGGGAAATAGCTTTCAACATGAAAAGTAAACCCATTCTTATCAACAGCAAAGAGCTCTCTGGGTTTTCTATAAATAAAAAAGGAGCTCTCTGGGTTCACTTCTCACTGCCTTTGTTTCCACCATCAGTATCAATAAGTAACAGCAGAATGAACTATGGGTCAAAATTCTGCAAACTCCACTAAGATTGCAGGTTCAACATCACCAACGACCTTACGACTACTAAACAGTAAAAAAAAGCCATTGTAAGTCGTCAACGGAGGAGGATTGGGAGTACCATTTTGTCATAACCTTCAATCAACCGAGAATAGTCTACAGCAACATTCTTCTCCTTCCCTTTTCCATCCCTTGCAACGTCTTCTCGTCTGCTCTTCTCCGACCTCCTCCCCTCCCGATGAGGCGAAAAACTTCGGCTCCGACTCCGTCTCTCAGATCTCCTCTCCTTCCGCGGTGAACGGCTCCGGCTTCTACTCCTTTTCCTATTCCGCCTCTCTCTGTACCTGTCTCTGTCCCGATACCGTTCCCTGCTTCTGCTTCTACTCCTACTTCGTCTCCTGGAATGTCGATCTCCATCTCTTCGACTATCCTTCTCTCTACTCCTGGACCGACGCCGATGGCTCGAGCTCGACTCTCTGACTCTGGTACTCCTGTCCGAATCCCTAGCCAACAATGGCTCTTCCTTATTAGAAGTCTTTTTCAACTTGTTCTGAACTGATTGGAGCTGCGCTTCCTTCTCGAGCTTGGAGGATTGGGCGGGGCTGGAGGCTCTGACGAAGTTGCTGAGAAATGAAGAAGATGTAGGAAGCGCGGAGCCTCTTGAAGGAGCAGGATGATCGTCGTCGGGGGCGGCAGAGAAGCCGAGCCCCTGTTTGAAGCGAGCGGCACCTCCGCCCTTACGGCTGAGCTCGTCGTAGTAAGCCGCGGCTTTGTCTTCTTCCATTTTCAGTTGCGACTTGCGAACGATGGCGGATTTTCTGGCCAAAGAAAAGAAATTAAGAAGCGAGGGATCTGCATCTGAACTTTTTTAGTTTAGTTTTTTTTTTCTTTTCTTTTCTGGGTGCTGCGTTTATTGGGCCTAGGCGGGCTGGAGGGTACAGCCTACTTGTGAATTTTCAGGCCGAGAATGTAACTGGAAAGAGAATATAGTTGCAGCCCAATTTGCCCGGAAAACTTGGCTGTATTTTTTTCCTAACATATTTGCAATGAATATTTTATTTTTTGCAAATTATTTGAAATACTTCATTTTGTATGACATTAAGGTCATATCTTAATTTTCAAATAGTGCATAATCTCATGACCAATAAGAACATTATCGACTATTTGCCGTTCCCGATTGAAAGCATTCTGACCAGGTGAAACAATATCTGGTAAAAAGCTCGCCATCCTTTCAGCCATAATTTTCGATATGATCTTATAAACCACTTGACAAAGACTAATTGGACGCAGCTGGCGCATATTTTCCACCGTATCCACTTTTGGGATCAACGTGAGCCAAGTGTGATTGAAACTTCGTAAGATACGCCCATTCACAAAGAATGATTGTACAGCTGCAATCACCGAGGGCCCAACAATGTCCCAGAAGCTCTTAAAAATTTTTCCAGTAAACCCGTCCGATCCTGGAGCCTGCGTAGAGCCTATAGAAAAGACCGTACGCCGGATCTCCTCCGGAGTCACTTCTGCCGTAAGGCTAGTGTTCATCACATCTGTGACTTTCTGATCAATGGCCAAGGCATTTACCTTTTCCCAAATATCAGTCTCCTCAGCTCCCGTCGTGAATAGATGAGAGTAAAATCCCACAGCTAAGTTAGCCTTGGCCTCTTTTTCCACCACCCATTCACCATCCTCATTTTGTAATCTCTCTACAAAATTCCGGCGTCTCCGCGCTCTTGTGACAGTGTGAAAATAAGAGGAATTTTGATCCCCCACCTTCAACCATCGAACACTGGATTTTTGACACCAGTATTTTTCCTCTTCAGCCCATTTTATCGTGAGTTCCCGCTCCAAGCTATTGACCCGATCCCAATCGACAGGGTACTCTTCCTTTAGCGCACCAATTTCGGTCTCCAAAGTCCGAATTTGCCTCGCAGAATTCGAGGTACCCTTTCGGCTCCAACTATGTAATCTATGTCGCAATCTCTTCAAACGGGTCCACAATTGGTACATCGGAGAACCCTGCACCTGCTCGCCCCAAATCTCCTCCACCATAGGCTTCACTTCCGGATTCTCCGCCCACCGTGCGTCAAAGCGAAAGAGAGACCTCGCCACCCTTGTGTGGGCCTTGTCCGACACAATTAGGACCCTGTGATCCGACCCCAGATCCGTTCCATGATTCACCATCGTTTCCGGGAAATTCGCCGCCCAACGATCCGAGGCAAACGCTCTATCCAACCGTTCCTGAATACACGCAGCCCCCATTCGTCTATTAGACCAAGTGAAGGGATTCCCGCGGAACCCCAAATCTTGAAGTCCTAAACCGTCAACGAACGAACGGAACTGATGCGAATGAGCCGGGACCCAAGGGACTCCCCCCATTTTCTCGTCAGAAGCGAGAATGCCGTTAAAATCCCCTACCATCAAGTATGGTTCTTGCAATCCCGCACAATATCTGCGTAACTCATCAAACTGGAAACCACGCTCGTTTTCACGACAACTAATATAGACAAACACAATCACCACTTTTATTCCATTAATTTCCAAACCGACCGAAATAAAGAAAGAAGAACTCGACAACACTGAGGCACCGCTCTCAGGGGACCACGCTACTGCTAACCCTCCTGAAGAATCAACAGCATCCACTAAATGAAAAACAGAAAACCCAAGACCACGCAATCTACGAGACACCACCCTACGGCGCGAGGGGTACTTGGCTCTGAAGGTTGATATGGAAAAGGCCTATGATAGAGTAGAGTGGCCGTTCTTACTGGCGATCTTAAAGAAGTTGGGTTTTAGCCCATTATGGATTAGTTGGATTCGGGAATGTGTCTCGTCTGCTAGTTTCTCGGTCATGATGAATGGGAAGCCTTCGGGTTTCTTCTGCTCCTCCAGGGGATTGAGACAGGGTGACCCGTTGTCCCCATTACTCTTTGTCCTGTGTACGGAGGGTTTTGCAGCTTTGCTTCGCCAGGCAAGTGAGATGCGAAAAATTGAAGGTATTCGTGTGAGCCCGCAGGCTCCGCGGGTATCGCATCTGTTTTTTGCAGATGACTCTTACTTGTTTATTAGAGCGTCGTCTCAAAAATGCAATGCCCTCCTCGATGTGTTGACAGAGTATGAAGCGCTGAGTGGACAGAAGGTGAATCTTTCTAAATCCGATGTCTGCTTTAGTGCTAATGTCCTAGCAGAGGAGAAATCTGAAATGGCAGGGATACTGAGGGTAGGGGCGATTGGGACCCAAGATAAGTACTTGGGGCTTCCATCCCTAGTTGCTCGGTCAAAGGCAGAAACCTTCCGATTCTTAGAGGAAAAGCTTCTGCAGAGGATTCAGGGTTGGAAACAGAAGCATTTATCCATGGCGGCTAAGGAGACCCTACTAAAATCGGTAGCGACTGCCTTGCCGGTACATGCGATGGCGTGTTTCAGGATCCCAGCTACTTCGTGTAGGAAATTGGACGGGCATATGGCTCGGTTTTGGTGGGGATTTGTTGAGGGGCGACCAAAAAGCCATTGGATATCATGGAAGAAGCTTTGTCGGAGTAAGCATGCGGGAGGATTGTGTTTCCGGCGCTTTGAGCTGTTCAATCAAGCCCTGTTGGCGAAAGTGGCATGGCGCGTTCACGCGGAGCCGGATTCTTTGCTGGCACAGATTTATAAAGCAAAGTATTTTCCGCAGGGGACTATATTCACGGCCTCGGCGCGGTCTCGACCTTCTTGGGGCTGGCAGGGCGTGCTCTTTGGATGCCAGCTACTTCGACAGGGGATGGCCTGGCAGGTGGGATCCGGTGAAGCTATTCCGTTAATGTCTGAGGGGTGGATTCCGGCTTTGCATCCTTCCCCCCCCCCCCTATCTTACGAGCATATGCTCCCGTGGAGGGTAATGAGAGGGTGGCGGATTTGATGGATCCGGATACCGGGGAGTGGTGCCGGCATTGTTTAGATGATGTTTTCACCCCGGTAATGGTCAGAGCTATTCTGCAGATCCCTCTTCCAAGAGAACCCATGCCGGATAGGCTTGTTTGGAGGGAGGATTCCTCGGGGAGTTATACGGTAAAGTCCGGGTATCGATTGGCGGAGAGGCTTTCCCAAAAAACATGGGTGGGTAAGCCGGATTGTAGCACGATGGATCGGGGATTATGGATAAGAGTGTGGGGGTTACCAATTCAACCTAAGCTCAAGTTCTTTGTGTGGGAAATCCTGCAAAGAATATTGCCAAATATGGAGGCACTGCGGGAGAAGAAGGTGTTGGTTCTTGCTCGATGCTCGGTTTGTTGGGCGAGCGAGGAGTCGACTGAACATCTCTTCTTGCATTGCCGGGTGGCGCGCGGGTTGTGGGACGCAGCGGGGCTGGCTGTTGAGTTGGATACACTGCCCACTGGGAGTTTTAATATTTTTTTCCGGCGGTTCTTGGATCGCGATGCTTCGCCTTCCCGGGTTGTGCGGTTGGTTTGCTGTTTGTGGAGAATTTGGAAGGGTCACAACTCGGTAGCATTTTAGGGGGTACAGACCCTGCCATCTATTCTTCGACAGGAGTTCCTTTTTCAGGTGAATGAGTGGCTACAGGTTCCGCAAGAAGGTGGTAGAGGTGGTGCCTCACAGGTTCTGGCGCATAATGTGGGTGTTCCGGCTAGCCAGAGGGCTCCGTTCGGTATTATCTGTTCCTTTGATGGTGCAGTCCGGGAGGGGTCCCATGCAGCTGGTGGGATGGTTCTGCATGATGCGGCAGGTATGGTGTTGGCAGTACGGGGGGTGACTTACAGCGGTCTCCAGAGTCCAATGTTGGCGGAGTTATCTACGCTTCGGGATGCCATCAGATGGTGCCAGCGTTGGGGATTGGTGACGGTATTGCTGGAGGGGGATGCGAAGGTGGTTATTGATAAGGTCAACGCTGGGGGTGTTGCTGATGCTTCTGGGGGGCCATTTTTGAGGAAATTCGTCGTCTCCTTTCGGCAGTGCCAGGGTTCCGGATCATGTTTGTGGGTAGGGAGAACAATTGGGTAGCCCATCTGGTGGCTCAGAAAGCCCTGTCTTTGTTTCCTACGGGTTGTAATGTGTTTGATTTTCATGCTTGGCTCCGATTGGAGCTGGGTCATATGTAACTTGGTTTTCTTGTTAATGCAAGTGATCGTTTCGTCAAAAAAAAGGTCATATCTAAATCATATTTTAATTTTTTTTTAATTATAATAACTATTTATCAATGACTGGACATTATATTCTTAATAATTATAACACTAGTGAATAACCGTTCATGATTTGTCTATTTGATGATGCAATCACGTAGTTATATAGTTGAAAATAAATTCAACATAAAAAGGGAGTTTGTGTGGGAAAGTGTAGCATAAATAGGAAAAACATAACCACAACTTTTAGCCAATATTAGCTTATCTTGATGTGTAATGCAATACATATATATCACACTCTATAAGTTAACGTATTCTAAACAATTGAATAACAAAATTGGTAGGAAAATAACATTTTTCATCCTTACTATACTCCATAGAAAATATTTTTCAACCAACATATTCGAAATTTAGTTGAAGGACAATCTTAATCCTTTAACAAATATTACTAAACCTCCCTTAAGGTTGACGACAATCGTCACGAGGTGGATCGCTACTTGCTGGCGGTAGATGAAATCCAGCGCACATCTCCTTCAATTCCATTTTCGTTGCCCCAAACGCCGACGACAGCGGAAACGAAGAAGACACACTTCCTCAATCGTAGAAGAAGACCTCCCTGATAACCCTCGTATGCGGATCTGAAGGCTGCAGTGGCGAGGTCCGATTGACGATGGCGGTGCTTGAAACCCTAACTAGACACTGCCTCTGCCGTCAAGCCCAATCACAAATTC